CCTCTGTATCGTCTTGCCTTCAAACTGCCACTCTCTGTCACTGCCAAAATATAGCTCTTGGGCATTTGTAGCTTTTTTTGACATAAATCCTCTTCTCCTTCTCTCCATCACTTTTCCTTACCCTCACTGACAGATACAGAGCTTACAGGTGGGCTTTGTGTTTGCTTAGTGTTAGACTAATTTGCCAAGTCTCAAATTCAACCCAGTGGTCCTTACTGTTGTTATTCCCATGCATCCTTCCAGGCAACCCCCCTTCTTGGGGCTTCAAACACTTGTAGACATTTATCCCTCTTTAGCTGTCATTAGGCCAAGTCATGCATATTCACATCTTTTAATCTTTTTTTTTTTTTTTCTCACATCAGTTCCTTCAGTCTTTTAATCATTTGTGTTGCTCTTCTCTAAATTACTCAAATTTGTCTACGCATCTCTGGTTCTCAGACACCATGAAGATGCTGTTTAGATAAATCTGCCTCTGAGGACTCAAGTTCATAAAAAGCTTGTTAATGCCTTTATGGTGGATACATTTTGTATTGCTGCTGGTCACCAAGATTTTAAAGGTTTGGAAAAAGGACACATAATGGTATCCTTGCAGAGTGCAACCAAAGAAAGGTGGCTGTCATTCAGCTGAGCCTCTTGTCCTTCATTCACCACTTCAGTATCTGCCTCTCTTCTAGCACTTCTCTGGGCAACTTGTTGAAATGTTTGCTCTCTCCTCATGTCTTGTCCCTCCTCAGGGAGAGAGGGAAGCTTCATGCAATGGGGACTCTTCCTTTGCAAGGCTTTCTGTTATTAATAAACATGGTAGTATGGTTTTTTATTTCAGAGAAAACATACAACTTTGGACTTGGAAGAGAAAGTGGGAATGTTTCCACTGAGCTTTGGGATGTCTATGGTTTGGACAGGCAGCAAATTGCTCCACATCCAGAAACTTCCCATCCTTTCCATCCCATGTGGATACTGGGCATGACTCTGAGCAGCTTTGGTAGTTCTCAGTACCTGTGGACAGTGTGGCTCATTATCCACTGAATCCTCCCAACAGCCCTCATGGGAGACATCACTTCCCTCCAGCTTATAGGGTAAGAAATGGGAGCAGAAAGGTGAAACAACCTGCTCAAGGCCATGCAGAGAACTGGGGGATGTGCTCAGGTGAAGACTGCGTGAGGCCTGGCAGAAATCTTTCCTTGTTTGGGCAGTTCAGACTGCGCTGGTTTCAGACAGCAAAGCCTCCATTATGTAATATATTTTTGCATGAGTTTGCTGGAGTTGTAATAAGCTTATCAAGGGAATAACTGTTAGGATAAACCCTACAATCTCATCCATCAGTCAGGAAGAGAAATAAATAGGAAAAAAGAGTAGATGCAGCTTTCCCAGATGTGTCAGTCAGATGCAGGCTCTGCACTCAGTGACAGCAATCAGAAGGACTCCTGCAACCAGTGCTCTGTGTCCACTAGAAATTACCTACTAGTCCTGACCTCACCTCACAGGCTGTTTTTTCTGGCCAGACCAATTTTAAAATGCACTACCAGCAGCACTAAGCCAGCTTCATAAATGTTACCATATGAGCTGGGGCACTGCTCCAACACGGTAGGGGGATACAATTATTTACCAAATCCTGGTAAAACATGTCCCTCTCTGAATTGCCTCTTTGTCTTATGCAGATGATCAGCAACCCTTAAAGCACTGCTGTTCTCTCTTTGTAAGAAGGCTCAGGTGCTGTCTTTTGTAATGCCACAGAGCACTTTTATGAGCACTGTTCATATGAGCACAATGTGCACAATTAAACATCAGCCAGAGCACAGCTTTTCAACTTGCCTTCCAAGCAAATCCTGCTGCCTTCCCTGTCACTGCCCTCCAGCCTGGTGGGAAAGAATTAACAAAAGCAGAAACAGTCAGACATCTGAAGAAAAGCTTTTAGAATGGCAGAGAAGAGCAGGTAGACAGGAAACAACGCCTTTCCAGGAGAACAGGAGGCTCCGTTGAAAATCTCTTTCCCAGAGGCTTTCAGCAGGGAATTGGGCAGGAGGGGAGGCAGTGATGGATAAGTTGTTGTAAGAGCACGGCATGAGGCTGCGGTGGGGGAGCACGGGTGGTGAGATTTACTGTCCCCAGACACTGCAGAGTGACACAAAGCCATTACAGCACAAGGAGTTCTGGAGGGCTGCAGCTGCCCTGGGGGCAGAGGGTGCTGATTCAGAGAGAAGCTCCTCTGCGGGGGTGTCTCTGCTGAGAGAGCCCCTGCCAGGCTTGCCAGGGAAGATGGACATGCAGGTGAGATGAAGAGCACAGCCCTTTCCCTGTTTGTGCCAGACCTCCACCTTTGGGAGAATCACCAGTGCAGGACGTGGAAGAAGCTGCCAAAGAGGCATTTTAGTGACCTGCCATTGGAGATATTGCGAATAAAAATGTGACAATAGAGCCTGAACTGTCAAGGAAAAGGGAGATGCTGAGACTATGGAGAAAGGGACTCCAGAAATCCATGGAAGGACTTCACTGTCAGCATGACTTCTGGGAGTGAGAAACAAAACCAGACTGGGTCACCTGAGGAGTGCAGTAGAGCTGGAGTGATGTCTTGGTACTGCTGCAATTCACAGCATCCATCAACCCTCCTAGGACACCCCAACAGTCCTGGTGTCCTCCACTCCAAAGAGTCTAAAGGCAGCTCACAGAATCTGTCTCCAAAATGTGGATAAAATAAAAATATCCATGCACAGCTCCTGCAGGAAGGTTCATCCAGTGTTCAATATTGCCATGGCTGCCCAGTTCTCCCAAGCTCTGAGCTGTGCATCTCACAGGAGCTTGGGCAGTTCTTGGCATGGTGGGCTGTGCTGCATACCATGCACAAATTTTTATTCATCATCATCTTCATTAGAAATAAGATTATTTAGGTCTATATTCCCTCCTATCCACCATGGAAGCTATTTGTTCCCAGGATGTGAAAATGCAGAAGTCATTACTGTAAAGATGGTACTTTTCATGGTAAGTGTGAACTCCTACTTTTAAAAAATAAGTACCTATTTAACTAAGAGCTTTATAATAGATCAAGCAGTGCACAGAGTACTAAGAAAAGTGAGAGCTACTATTTAAATAAACTAGCTTAGTGGTAGGATTGGGCAGGAAAATAGTTTCTTCTTGGTATCTTTAATAGTAATTTATTCAAAACCCTTATCTTTGGATAAATACAAATTAAAAATTAAAAGCTCCTGTAAAGCAATGCATGAAACTAAAGCACCACAGAGAAATTTGGAGAAGCAAACAGAACTGCCATCATAAACCACAAAAAACACTTCAGAACCAGGACAGAGGGGAAGGAAACTTGGGAATAAAAAAAAAAAAAACCAGAAAAGCAACTCAACTGCAACATGAAAGGAAGAGAGGAGGGGATGGCGGTGGTGGCAGCAAGAAAAACCACCACTTAAGAAAACAAATTCCCAACATTGCCTCAGCAGGATGCAGAAAGAAATATTAAAACCGCAATTTTGAGAACATAACCCAGACCGTCGGGTGAGTGACACCTCCTGCTGGCAGCAGGCAAACAGGCTCCTGCCGCAGGGCTCCGAACTCCGCCCCTGGGAGCAGTCCCTGAGGTCGTGTTAAGTTCAGAGTGGCACAGAGCCATCAAACTTCAAGCACCCAGGGAAACACTCCATAAAACAGTGTTTTTCAAGGCCAGCATGCATTTCAGTGAATCCATGGTGCTGTGTGAATGTTTTAGGCAATAAAAACGTTGGGCAGTGCTAAATGGCACTGCTGGCAAACGGAGGAGGTGGTCAGAGTGTGGGGTGGGTCCCCAGCACAGGACTGTCCTGCTGAGCCACGGCTCCTGGGCACACAGCGAGGCCCTGGGGGCTGCAGGCTCTGGCAGGACCAGGAGCTCAGCTGGTGAAGCAGCACAGGCAGCAAGGCTTGGCCTGGCATACAGTACCCCACTGTCCTTAATGCCCTTATCCAGCAGCCTGCAGAGAGCAGGAATTTCTATTTCTCCCACTTTAGAGTTGAGGTGTGGATGAGCAGCTGCTTTGGATCACATCCAATGACACATTTAACATCCAACTGCATGTTTAAGTGCTTGAATTCACATTTCAGACAAGAAGGTACAGATTGTCAGATGTGGGACAGCATCAGCAACACAGCCAAGCGCCTCCCTGAGACACAGTGGGGTCCATGAGCAAGTGTCCACCTTAAGACAGCCAAAACTGTGACTGGGGGTCAACTGGCCTCCAAAGAAGGGGAAAACAATCTTCTCTGCACTCCTTATGGGATCTGTGCATGTCCAGAGTGGTGTGCAGAGATCCCACATGTGCAGAGAACTGGCCTCCAAATGGAGAGGTTTGGGGTTCAGACCACAGAGTTGACTCAAGGCAAGTATCAGGTTTTTAGATATCACCAGGGATGACTTCTGGTCCCAAGGACAATCACCAGCCTCCAGTCACTGTTTCTACCATTATCTCAAGACAGCACCAGGAGAGTTACAGACTCAGTTTCTTTAGACAAGAGCAGACTGCATAACTCATATGGTTGAGGAAAGGCTAACTCTAATAAACACATAAAACCCAAGGGATTATATAAGCAGCCAATAAAGATACAGAGTCTTTAATTTATGAACTGGAGTTATACTTATTCAGTATGTGGCATCAAAAGAAATACAGATTTTCTGACAGATTTTTTATTTCCTGCTGTTACTAAAATGCATCCCCTTAAAGCAGCATCTCACAAAACTGTAATTCTTCTCAATTTATCTCTGAATGAGCCTACAGTCAACAACTTTGTACCATGCATGTCACAAATGAGATTTTCATTCTAAATGATCAGATGTAGGGATCAGATTTTGAAATTACATACATTTTGTGCATAGCTTGCATTCCCTTTGTCTTTTTTTTATCTGAACTGCCCATCCCATCTCCCACATACCTGTATGGCTAAAATTGCATGAAGATGGTTTCTATTCTAAAAGAGACATTAATGGAAATGGAGCAGAGTGAGGCTGCTGAGATTATTTTTACCTGAGCTCTGATGGCGGCATCCTTCTTAATCCACTTTATCACTGTTTCATACACCAGCTCTTCTGCTTTGGTGTTTAGGCTGTCATTGGACATGTAGGAAATGAAGTCATCTTTGGAGATATTAAGGATCTCTTCTTGGTTTGCCACCTCTGGGAAAATTTGCAGGGCATAAGCTTTGGCCATGTTGTATAGTTCAGTGCACTGCATGGCTTCAGCCATGGCTAATATTCCTAAGCAGTTGCTAGCAGTCAGCTGTTTTTCTAAAAAGGGCAAAAAAACAAACAAAAAAGGCAATTGAGAATTAGTAAAAACAAGATTCACATTTGTTCCAAGATCATGAGAAAAATAAGCGTCATGGACAAACCTCCAACCGTAATTAATTTCAGGGAGTTAACTAGAAGCAGCATCCTGGGTTAATTTGGAATTGGAGTTTAAAGTACAAAAAGTGAGTTGGAGATGGGGAGAGAAATGCACTTTCTGAGTTTGCTTTTTGTGTAAGCCTCCACAAAGCACTGGGGAAACCTACTGACATAACAGTATCTGGGGCTTCCCAAGGGATGGGAACCCAGCCAAGAGACTGCTGCTGTTCCCACCGCCTACGATGTTGCTTTAAGGAACAGCAAAGATGTAAACGCCAGTGCAGACACTTAAGAATAAATGCAAACAGCACTAAGGACATTTCTGAGAATGCTGCAGTCACTTTATGATAATTTTTGCCCTGTTCAGCTACTGAGCTACTTCAAAAAAAAAAAAATCCTCCCCCCTCTTTTTTTTTCAAAGGAACTTTGTTGCTGCTGAATGTGATGACATCCCTTATGCAAAACACAGATTATACTAACGCCTTCTGTTAAACGTTGTGTAGTGGGTTTCAAAGAAAATCATGCACAGAGGAGACAGCATTATCTCCTTCCCAGCAAACAGAAGCAGCAGCACAGTGTGTAGCTTTGCGTTAGAAGTGTGCTACACCATACATTTGACTGTACTTTTTTTCCTTTCCAGCTATTTTGAAGAAAAACCCACCAATTTTAGACATTTATAAGAGGAACTCTCAGATTCTTTGCAGTGTTTATTAACCAAGCCACTACTAATAAGAAGAATATATTATTTTAAGATATAGACTGAAAAAGAAAAAATGAGTGAGACTGCAATAGATCACAAAGGCATCTGCAGCAGTGGCAGGCTCTGGTGCTGCCACAGAAGTCTATCACATTTGGCAGTGTCATATCCTAGTGCACTATGACAGAGCACCGGACAGGAATGTGCAATAGCCCCATATCTCTTCAAACAAAACTCTCAGCAGATTGCTTCTGCTGGAAATGCTCAGGGATTCTTCCCTACACCCAGCCTCTGCCTTCATCAGATTGGAAACCTGCATACTATCTTTATGTGGCTTTTAATAAAATGGGATTATGAACCATCTTTTCCTAATTTTTTTTAACCTGACATGAGATTAGGAGTTTTGTGGGTTTGTTTTGCTTTCTTCCCCTCCCAACTCTTCTTATTTTCTTTTACAGATCCAGCAGCCTCAAAACTAGGTTATCTCATTTTGCATCAGTTGATTGTACTGACTCCAAGGAGCCCATTTCCTCAAGCTGACTGCAGTAGCAGCACTGTTTGTTGTTGGTAGATTTTGTCACTCAAAGACAGTCCAGAGATGGGGTGTAAACTGATAGCTGCAAAAAGGGATGGGAAGGGAAGGGAAGGGAAGGGAAGGGAAGGGAAGGGAAGGGAAGAATCCCCCAAAAACAAACCAAACCACAAAAATCCCAACGGACCAAAAACATCTTCCAGATTCCTTGCTTCTGTCTGCTGGCACAGTTTCATGGTGTACATATGGCTTGGGGTAAAATAATCATCTATCAGAGCCCAAAACTCTTATAATTTCTTGGCAAACTCTCAAGTCAAAGGCCAATCTGCCACTGTTCCACCTTATCCTCACAGGGTTAATAATGAAGGGAATAATCAATTTGGACTCATTAAGCAGCACATCATGGTAAAGACTTTCAAGTCTTTCTCTTGAGAGGACTGGTTTTGCCTCTATCAGGAGAGATCCCCATACCATTTCCAGCTGAGCCTGCGCTGTGCAGCAGAAAAAAACTGCTCACAACTGATTTCTTCTGGACAAGCTTCTCCAGCTCTAACAACACTGGGTGACTGATGCAGCCTGGCATACTGGTCCAAGCAGGTCCATCTCGGCCCTGGGAGCTTTACTCCCTCCCCTTCCCTGAGAAACCCCTTGGTGGCAGATTCCAGGGATGTCCCTGTCTGGTCCAGGAACTATTGTGAGGCTCTGTGGAGAGGGGTCCCAGGGAGATGTGGGATTAGGAGATGTGCAGGAGGCTGGTGACACACTTCTCTGCACTTCACTTCTGTGTGATGAGAACCACAGCAAGGCGGGCACAGCAACATCTGTTTAAGATGAGGACTGGCACGTGAGCTAAAGGGATTCGCTGCTGGTGAGGAAGACAGACCTTGGGAAAACAGCTGTAGGTGATATGGAAAATCTCTATCCTATGAACGTAAAGACACCACTTCATCACCCCATTTTTCAGCTCTGACTAAAAATTTGGCAGCAAGACTGGTCTCTCGACTTCAGCTGTCTGTGGTGCAACTCTGCATTCACAATTATATCCCTAAACACCCATAAACAAGCAATTCCAAGTAGCAATCTGGTAATATTCTGCATTAATCTGGTAATATTTTGGATGTCGACTCCAGAATGAGCAGAACCCCACCTTACCAAGGTCTGTAACTCTTCACTGGCTATAGAGGGACCCTGCATGACTACTTAGACATAGACTTCTGCTATATAATACAGCTCATCCCAAATGACTGCAGTCCAGGGGTACTTGTCAATGCTGGCATGACAAAGACAGCTAAGGACCAGTTCTGCTCTGTCTGTTCCTGAGCTGTGTTCCTTTGGACACTGCCATGTTTACAATAATTGTTGTTTTGCCACAGTGACAATGGGCTTGTAACAACACGTTTTTCTGAAGTTTCACCTTGTCTCTGTTCAGAACACAAATGATGACTACTAAGCTATTCCCAATGCTCAAGGACATTTTATAACAGAGTCATGAGTGGACTTTAGGGATTTCAGATGCAATCTAGGAGGTTCTCTCTGGTCTGAGACAGTGCTGGATAGCATATTTGCTGCTACGTGTGTCACAATAATTCAGATCAGCAGCTGGTATTTTCCACTGTGTTAGATGTGACTTTGGACCAGGATCCTTTGCAGCATCATCAGGAGACAATCAGCCAGGCAGACTGCTCCAACTGCACTTCTGGGAGTGGAGAGATTTGAGATAACACCAGAGATAAACGGTATGAAGGAAGGATTACTCAGTGAGATTGTGGTAACAGTATGATGGAAGCTCAGTGGTTGTAAACCCCCTCTTGTGTGCATTAAGCACTGCAGTTTCACTCAGAGATGCTTTCTAGATGATGATTTGGGTATTACTAAAAACAGCATGAAATGTGTACTTCCTTGTGATACTCTGTGTACATTCTGATGGGAAACTTACTCCTCAGGTATTCCTACTAGTGTCAAAAAGCATGTGAACATGGGGGATAGGTGGAAGACTGTCAGATGCATTCATTGTCCAATGAATTGTCCAAAATATTTCCTTTCCCTCTGAGAGTCTTCTTCCTTCCATCTCCATATATAGTTGAAGTTTATACATAGTTTATATGAAGTGTACATATTCTAGTTTCTCCAGGGCTCGGAAGCGCAGTTTTCCAGATGGATTAAAATTCTCCGCCTTGGATGAACAAAATAAGTGCCCATAATATTTACTCTTGAATTCATAAAGACCATAAAGGCCTCTTCTTCCCTCTGATGCCTGAGGAATGCAGGTCTGATCAGTGGTCCATTGTTCAGTTTTTCTCATTGCTTCCTCTACTACTCTTTCCAAACACCGATTTTGTGCTCTTTGCTCAGGAGACTAAGAAAATTCAGAGCTCCTGCTCTTTCCTAATCTAGCCCTTGAAACTGCCAGGTTCCACCAGCTTCTTTAGGCTTAAAGATGAATATTTTTACTTTATCAGCAGCAGGTTGAAGTACAAGCTCAGAATGTGTTCCCTGCTGTGATTGGTGTCCATGCACCATGGACCAAAACCGTGATACTGGTGAATCACCTGAAACCCAATTCAAGCCACTACTGTGATGACAGTGTAAAACAAATATGAAAAAAGAAAAAGAAAAAAAAAGACACAAGTCTTCAGCCATATGGGTGGAGGAAATACCTACAACATCCTGACCAGTTTGCAAACATTTGCCCAGTTATCATATGGTGCCTGCACGAACCTGTCACCATCGCTGCATCAGTCAGCACAAAACTGTTCTCATTTCTCATGGTCTACACAAAAGCTGAGGAGACAGCATGTGAGGAAGAGAGAGAACATGGCTATAATTATCCCAGGGAAGCTGGTTAAGAAATCTCCCATTGAAATGAAACTACTGCCCTGACATATTTTGCCACATCTTTTCACCAAAAAAGTGCAAGAAAATTTGGGGTGCCTCTGCCCAAAGCTGCTGAGAGGCCCAGGATAGAGACACAAAAGCTGCTTGGACATGACCACGACAGAATCTTCCTCTTCATGGCTGAAAAAGGATGACCCAAATTTCCTGTGAGATTATGCTGTGCTATGCTGAACAGACTTAATAATTTGGGCCTTTTACTTCTTCAAACTTCCCTTCTCTCCCTATTTAGACATGGATTGATGGGAAAAATTCACTGTTTATACTGGTCAACCCTCCAGAAGCCCTGCAGGAAAAAAACCCCTGATTTTTACCATATTTTTGCTTTGTATAGCACAGAGGTGGCAGAGGTGAAAAATAAAAACACAGCCACAGAGAAGACAAAATGCTTTTCCCTAAACTTTTCAGATGGCAAATGCTCTGCTGTCTCTGTAGTGCAATCAAGTCACAGCTATAAATAAAAATAAGCAATTACACTCCGTGAATTCTCCAAATGAGAATACGAAGTTCCAGTGACTCTCCATATATCACTGAACTTATAACCAACTCTACTATTTCACACCATAACATGGTTCACTGAATTAAAATATTAACTATCAGAAAAGAGCGCTCTCACAGTGATTCAGTGAAATAAATGTATTTTGGTTTTGTGGCTGAATCTTCAGTGATATCAAAACTTAAACACATCCTGTATTTTTGGAAAGGCTGTAAGATCTAATCACTGTAAAAAGCTGGTGAAGGGAAGCTGGGAGCAAGCAATGCCAGAGCCAGAGCCTCATTCAAATTGCACAGTCTACATGGTGGAATTGCAAAGCATAAATTTCACATCACCAGTACCGTCCCCATTTGAGAACAGACTTTGAAATAAGGGGCATATAAAAATTTGAAAAGGAGACTACAATGCCAGAGATTCTTTACTGATGCCTGCATTGTACCAGCCCAGTCACACCACTCATCTTGCCAGCAGGCTGGCTTAGCAGTGAAAATTAACTCAACAGTAAACTGGACTAGCTTGAGGGCTTTTTATTGTTCTTGTTTTTTGAGCAAAACATTTTCTTCAGTTTCATCTTCCACATTCTGCAACAGCAGATGTCAATTTCAAATGAGAACTGCCCAGGGAAAACCTACAATTTATTTGGGCTTCAGAGAGAATGATGCCTCCCAAACCAAGATGGAAGTTGAGGAAGCCCAAGCAGAAATCAGACGTCAAAAAAGCTTATCTGGTACTTACACCTGGGAAGTACATCATATAACATCAAGATCAATTTTTTGGTATTAATAAGTTTATGTTAATTTTTAAATTATTACTGTCTTATTAACTGATATTTCAGCTATGACAGTGAAGGAGTGGCTTGTGGTACAGGCAGGAATTTGAACCACCGTGTTTCAGATGAGCTCCAGTTGTGGCTCCCCTTCTGCCATGCCAGGTCTGCCTGCTTCCTGCTCTGGCCATAAAGCTTAGCTGAGCTGGAAATCTTGGACTGTTTTGAAATACCCTCTGCTGGAAAGCAGAGGGAAAGTGGAAGGAGCAGGATGACATGGTGAGCCTGGCAAGAAGAATGGATTTCTCGTGGCCATGAAAGGATGGACTGAGGCACTGGCAAAGATGTTGCTCTATAGACCCTCACTGAGATAAATGCTCCCTGTGCACATAGGGCACACCAGTTACCAGGGTGGGCACAGCAAACTTTCCTTCTACCCACCTTTGTGGTGACATTAGGCCATAGCTCTGTATGCTATGGAACACTGAATCTGGAACACTGGACATGTAAAGAAGGACTTTCTCACAAATGCAAGAAAATTGCAGCTAATGCAGTGCAGTCCTTAATTTTTTGGCAGATTGCAGGAGTTCTTCTTCCATTGGTGCCCGCCTCCAAACTCTTTTGGTGTTTGACCAAGCTGGTCTAGCGTAGAACCCAAAATATGCTGTCACAGTTAGAAGTAACCTGTGTGTTACAGCCTGGTATCTATGCACACATCATCCTCTGGGAAGCAAAACATCATCAAGATTCCAAGAGTGGAACAAGATTCAACAAAATAGGTTACACAAGATGTGAAAGCTGTTGCCACTCAAGCAACAAGCTATACTTCTCTAGAACATTTTCCATTGGCCATCATGTCAGCATTGGAAATTCAAATCATAAACCAAATTAATGTGCTTTACTTTACTCTATTTCATCTTGGGTTTCTTCATTATCTTTTAAGAGCTGTTCAAAGACAGGTTTATAAACCTTAACACAAGATTTTAAAACCTCACTAGATGCAATGATTCTTACCTAGAAATGAAACGCAGACTTTACAGAAAGTATGAAACTGGAACTTGCTGGCAGCTTCCAGTAGTGTTTTTGCATTGGCTGAATCTATGATCAAAGAACCTGTATAAACAAACTCCAGGAGTAACTCCAGGACATCCGCAGTGAGGTTGGACATGGCCAGTTCCAGCTTCTCCCCGCTTCTGCTGCTGTCTCGTGGTGACCTGGTAACAGCAGACAATTAAATTATGGACATTACACCATTCCCATTTTATTGGCATTTATTGATTAGTGAGGGCTAGAAAATCGCTTTGCACCTCATTATATTTCTCCATTATTTTTGTTTACGGAACTGAAGAATATGAATTTTAAAATAACTGAACTTAAAAACTTTAACTGGATCTGAAAGAGAAGAGTCTTAAAGCAAGTCTTACGAAAAATCTTTATTGCTACTTTGCATTTTCATGCAAAAACAGTTGCAAAAGAAAAGGAAAGTAAAATAAAGGAAAAGAAAAGAAAAAGGAAAATGAATGATTCAACATTAATGAAAATGAGGAACAGGATTAGCTTTCAAAGGGAAACAATACATTTTAACATCTTGGTTAACATCTTATCTTCTGTGCATAATATAACTGTTAAGGAAAAAACACTCTCCAATTTCAAGAGAAAAGGTCGTCTACTTTTTCAAGAATCCAGCACTAGAATAATTTTAGATGTCATGTACACTTAAGCATACATTTAAAGACCTTTTCATAAAAAATAGTAATAAAAATTATTAATTTCTATTTAGCTTGAACTTCTCATTATGTTATATTAAATTACAGATATGATCAATATGATATCTATGGTACACAGATGGCCATATAAAATATAATATATGCTTATTCTAAAAAATCTATTGTTCCCTTTTAGGCACTAAAAAAAGGAAGCCCTTCATGGCAATTGCTTTGAAAACTGAATACAAGACAAGCTAGACAGACAAAATGGTTAGAGCAAAGAAGGGAGAGGGGGGAAAACAACAACCAGCTCTGCCACAGGAAGCCAGCAGCCATCCTCTAGGAGTTTCATGACTGTGGCCTATGGTTTTTCCTGCATGAAGTGCTGAACAATTTGGGGATCAAAGTATCTCCTGCATTTGAAGTGTGCATTAGTGCTTGTGAAATTATTGGACAAAAAGAAAGGCATACTGAATTACAAAGTAAGGGCCCAGTTCTTAATGCATGGCTGATGTGTCTGCAACACTAAAGACAGGTTACACCTGAAAGACAAAAGTGATGATAAATTTGGTAACATCAAGGAGGGGAAGGGAAATCTGTTGGAGTAAGAAAATAAACTCTTTTAATGGTTAGGACCATCCAGCACCTTCTCAAAGAAACATGAGCTTTTTGTTTGCCACTGGACAGTCAAGGTCTGCTCGCTCCAGTTCTGCTCGAGTACTTGCAAAAGCCACGAGTGACACAAAACCGGGACACGATGCAGCGCAACAGATACGGACTGGCCACAGCATCACTACTCACAGGCAACGCCAGCTTGAAGCATGAGCAAAGACTACCACGAGCACTACCAACCTCTTGGGTTCACACAGCTGCCTAGAAAGGTGATGGTCAGACCTCTACTACCATCACGGAGGAAAAATAAACAACATACAAGGTTCAGTTTTTTTCCCGCATGACACCCCAACCACCTGTCCCAACAACACCTGAAATCATTTGGGGAAATGCTTAAAATTTGCAGTGGATGGTTTGTCACTGGCCCTTCATTGACCAGCCCTGGTCAAGTCAAGGGCACAACTTTAATTCATATGAATCTCTGATGATCAAAACTTTAAAGAAATTTCATTTTCAATGGAGGAGCAGCTCGCAGTCCCTAATGTGTCTTCTCTAAGGTAGTGAACAATGGTTACTCCTATTCACAGGAGGAAACTGAGGCACAAGGAGACAAAATAACTTGCCTATGATCACAGACAGTCAGGAGTAAACCAAGGAATTAAGCCCCATTTTTAAAATTCTAAATACTGAACTGTCCCTTTTCGTGGCAACACAGAAGGGTTAGATCCTATTCCACAAGATGGAATCCTAAGAACACATACTGATCATGACACCTGTTGTACCCCTACAAGCACAGAGGTCTATGCTACCCTAAATCCTTAAGCTTTATCATACCACGGTATTCTTTCTGAACTCCTGCATATGGATTCAATTCCGCATCTGAGGCAGAAATCCTCTGATGGCAAACAGAAGAGTTGCCATTTCCTAGATCCTCAAGAGGATGTCACAAAACATTGGGTTTTTTCCTTTCTCACACTCACACCCCAATGATATGCCCCATATCTGATTTATCTCCAGTTTACATACATCTGGTGCTGCACTCCGGTCTGTCAAATACCTCTTGGTACCGATGTAATTCTTGCTGAACTGCTCTCAGAACTGGTTTGCACCTGAAAGTGAGCTTGTTTTCACATGGGCTGGTTAACAAACACACAACCTAAAATTTCAGGGAGTTTTGGAGGTAACCAGCAAGCAAGAGTTGGGTTCTTTGCACTGTGGGACTACCATAAGCAATTATTTGATGCCACTACTTGCACTGTGCTGGTGTGATCCGCTGGGAATCGCACAGTCGCACTCGGTGCAACCAGGAGCACAGAGGAAAGGATGATGTGACACCAATGTCAGCACAGACACATACCCATGCTAGCAACAACTCCAAGCTGCTATTTTTCACAATAATTAAGTAATAATCTCTTTTACTTTGTAATACACCGAGCAATAAACTGCTGCTGCAATTGATTAAATGCCAAAGAAAAGCTAAGGTGTTTAATCAATCACTAGAGCCACTTACAGCACGTATAATACAAAGCTACAGAGATTATTGATATTACACAATGAGCCAGAAATGGGAAAGAAAATTATCCCTATTCCTGTCTCTGCAATGCCTTGAATGTGTTGTGCTGTTTTCCTTGTGATTTCTAAGCATGAAGCCCTTTGGCTCCATGTTTTGCTGGATGAAATACTGAGTATAGGCTGGATTCAGCCTGCACAGGGAAATCACAGCTACCCCAGCTTCCATGCCAGGGATCTGGTTTGGTAGAGGTTGGAGAATGGGCAGGGAATTGGCTGAAGCATGTCCTAATGGATCAAACTTTAAGTGTCTGAAGGATAAGAAGAACATAACATCAGGAAACAGACCGATATCACTGAAAAGGGAAGTTTAGACTTCTTTATTAAATTATTTCAGTGAATCAGGTTGCAGCATCTCTGTCAAAGCCTGAATAAAGGTTTCTGTGTTCCTTGTTTTCATAAATTTTAGAATATCATATGCCCTGTGCAGTTAAAATTCATCTGTTTGGGACAGAGTCTTCTCTTGGCTGCTCCAGAGGAACTGCAATGAAGTGGCTAAAGCCGTATTACAAGAATGGAATTTAGTCCTGTAACTGCAAATGCAGTGGATTTGGGAAAATCTGTAGCAATATATAGAGCTGTTCCCCAAATAGCTCATCCTGTGTCACAACAGGAGGAGTTTTGTTGGTGACATTAGTAAATGCAAACATTTAGAGAAGTCTGTCACCAGAAAAGCCCTGACTTCCTGCCTTTAAGAGCTGGGAAAAGTCACAGTTCTACCTGGTACATACACTCCTGTTCCCCAGCTCCTGGCACAAACATGAGTGTTTTGGGGATTGAGAGCCTGCCTCCTTCATGTTTCAGTCTCACTTGAAGCCAGTCAAGGCACCCTTATCGTCCATGGACATCATTAAATGTGGCACATTCTGCTATTTGCCCGACGAACTCTAAAGTTTAAACAGAATGATGTCATTTTATTGGCCTTGTAATCATTGCTCATATTATAAAGGTCACACATTTCACATTGTGGCAGAAAATCAATAGCTCTCCCAACAGCCTCTGGGGGAAAAAGTTTTGCTTCTGAAGAATAATATATAATAAACAATTTTAGTCCTTACTTTATCATGGCTATAATCTTGGAGAAAAGCTACAGTAAAAATCTGGCAAAGGCTGATATATAAACTCATTAAAATTGGGAAGTGATTTAGAACAGGACTTTTTAAAAGATTTATCTTGAGCTAAACAGCAAAGAGATTTGTTTAGGTCTACATTTAAACAAGCTCCAAGAGCTCTTTAACAGCTTAATTTTATGGTAGCTGTTGGGGAATTCTTTCAGATTTACAAATCATGTATTTCTCTAGCAAGGTGATAGACCTGAGCAATGTGCAAGCAGAACTGAACCTGCAGATAAGCAGGAAGCACAGATATACTCTGAATGTGTAAGGGGGGAGTTACTGCAAAATATTCTGCATTGTCTGGAATAATTAAGTCCAACAAAATCAAGCGAATGCCTTTGAACATAGTTTAGCTGCTTATCCTTCAACTAAATTGCTTCAAGTAGAGAAGACAAAGGCACAGGGAACCCTTTAAAGCAAAAGATGGCTCGATTACACTCTCAAATAACAAATCAGAATCAGTGTCCTCTTCTGTTAACTAATATACAGGAAAGAGCAAAAATGTTTAAATACTTGATAGCAAGAAAAATAACCCAAATACTTCATCTGCAAGATCCAGTAGTGGAACTGACAAAAGAAAAAGTAGAGAAATCTACATTTTTTGCTATTTATTTGTCCTTGAAAATAATTTCCAAACATGTATTACGCACATACAAGAATAAGCCATAGTGCTATCATGTTTAATAGTGATGCAACTGAAGTTTTCTGCATCTTGAGTTATAAATAGATGTGTATCAGTGCATTTTTCCTGCATTATTTGTATCAACACGTTCCCATAACAGAACGTCTGCGTGACTCTGTTCAAAACATTTAATAGTGAGATGCCTTGATTTGCAAAGCCACATTGAGAGTCTGCATAAAGCAGCTGTGTAAGTGAAACACCGCGAGCGCATCAATTTGTCAATTTATGGACAGCGCGACTGCCTCTCATTCAGCCCTCCCTCATGGTTTGGATATGCTGCCTTTAACTGGCTTGCAACATTATTTTGACTGACTAATGGTTTGGCTACAGCTTCACTCAATTTTAGATCAAATACGAAAAGCTACCTATACCCAGTGCAGATGCCAGCCAACGCTCTGTTTACAAGCTACAGTCACAAAGTCAAAACAAATCCTGGATGTTCAAAATGGAGCCATCTGCACAGAATAAACATGAAAAATGTGAAACATTTTATGTAAATGTACATTACTGCCTAGGAACAGTTGGTTCAG